TCAAGTAATTCGAATTTGTAAGTGTATGTGAATTTGAGGAATAATATTTAGGACAGAAAAATCTATCGAACGAAAATCAGTGTAAAACAAACCTGAGACGTAGAGAGAGTAATGTGATTGGGAGGAAGACAAATGAAAGAAAAATGTAGTGAAGGGGATGGAAACTGAGAGAGAGGAGGAGGACAGAGGATATATGGTTGGTAGAGAGGTAAATAATATAAGAGGAATTGAGCAAGCTAGAGAGAGAGAGAGAGAGAGAGAGAGAGAGAGAGTAACGTTTATATTAAAGAAAGGAAGAATGAGAGCGAGTAAAAGAATTAGAGAGAGAAAGGGCAAATAATAGAATGATAGATTATGATGAGGAAAAGTAAGAGGAGAAGAAAATAAGGTAGGCGTGAAGAAGACAAATAAAAGAGTGTGTGACAAGGTGGAAAACTGAGAAAGTGGGAGAGATGAAATATGGCAAGGGGGGGGAGGTAAACTTAAGCGGAAGCGAGAGAGGGGGAAAACGGAAAAGAAGAGAATAAGGTGAATGGGAGGAAGAAAAATGACGGAGAAGGGAAACGGAGGGGTAGAGAATGTAAGGTGAGTAGGAACATAAATGAGGGCGAGAGAGAAAGAGAGGGAGAGAAAAAAGAAAGAGAGATAGGTTGTGCTATAAAATTAAATTTCATTGCAGAATGTTCAGTAAGGAGGAATGTATGGCGAGTTATCAAATAATTATGGCCTTTCCACCTACCATTTTATTGACGGCAATCTTTAGTCAGAATAAAAGAAAAAAAGACGACGTTGTTTCATTTTCGAATGTGGCAACTCTCTCTTGCTACTTGACGTGACAATCCCAAACGATGAATGATATCTTTAACTTGACCTCAAGCAATCTGGTGCAAGTTGGTTGCTTCTACAAGTTAAATTAAAATGACAGTAATAATAATATTTTTACACAACGGTGCAGAGAAAAAATGTCATTAGGCTGTTTCTGACGTTAGCTTTATGGTTTTTCTCAGAAGGAAATGACTATATAACAGACATCAATGGGAATAATAATAATAATAATAATAATAATAATAATAATAATAATAATAATAATAATCTGCAACTTCTACGGGAAGGAAACTAAATCTGCAGCTTCTACGGGAAGGAAACTGAAAGAAACTGGTATGAACACCACCCAGACCCGGTTACGGAGATAGGACCTGTTACAATTCTATGGGACTACACAATACACACTGACAGAACAATCAAGGCCAACCGGCCAGATATTGTTATTAAAGACCACAAACAAAAACGGTGCCTCCTTATTGATATGGCAGTCCCTGCTGACTGCAATGTATCTTTGAAGATATTCAAAAAGTTGTCAAAGTAAAAGGACCTTGAAATAGAAATCTCGAAAATGTAGCATATGGGAACATCAATAATCCCTGTTGTAGTTGGAGCCCTGTGACTGGTTGGAAAAGATTGCAGTAGACTAATTGAAGGGATTCCTGGAAGTCCATGCCTCAAGGAGATGCAAAAAATTGTTCAGACAAGTACAGCCCACACTTTACGAAGGGCTTTATCTATGTAATTTAATTTTTTTTTTTTTTTTGTCAGTGGAAAGTGTCATGACGCCATTTCTAACCTTTGGTCCCTGGAAGGGACCCGGAAAGAAATGTGTAAACGCCAGAAATCAAAGAAAATAAAAATGATAATAATAATAATAATAATAATAATAATAATAATAAGAAGAAGAAGAAGAAGAAGAAGAAAAATATACCTTTTCCACCAAAATGTAGTAGGGTTGATGGTCTACCTTATAATACTTGATAAATATCTCTCATTGGTGTCGGAAGGTTGAACATTGGAAAGACACTTGTGCGATCCTCTTAGAAATTTTCTCTTTCTTTGATTTCATTTTAAGTCTGCTTGACTTTATTTAACTTTTAACTTCTTTCATTTTCAATTTTCATTTTTAAAAAATACTAATTGTGTTTTTTTTTTCATTACCATTAATTTAATTTCTCTTTTCTAACCCACACCTCAAGTGGAACCTTTCGCCCATCTTTCTTCCCTCCTCGACATAATGTATGCCTGTAAGTGCGTGTGTATATACATGTATGTGAATATGTACATGTATGTATATTCGCATGGGTAGGGATTATATTGACTGCTCCCCTCTTTTTTTTTTTTTCCTATATCGCTACAGGTGTACTAACATAGCAATGTTCTGCTTTTTAAAACCACAGAAGACTTGATGTTAATATGTGTCAAAGAACATGAAAGTAGTAAGCGCCTTTATTCCGTAATAAAAGAAGCCAACAAGTTCAAAATGGAGTTTCAAATGGATGCAGAAATACAAGTAAAGCACAATACACGGATTGGAGCTGCAAAATACAAAGAAAAGACAGTAAAAACAAATGCAACCGACCAGATACAGAAACAATGGCAAGATAAACCACTTCATGGCCAATACTCTGTCCGTACCAAACAAGCTGATATAGACAAACCCCGTGCCCATCAGTGGCTATGTAGTGCAGGGTTAAAAGCTGAAACTGAAGGTTTATACTTGCTGCACAGGATCAGTGTTTTTGACGTTAAAAAACCATCAAAAACGAAATTATCAAGCACACATACTAAAATATAGAGTTAGCCCAAAATGCAGGTTCTGTGATAATTACCGAGAAACAATCGATCATCTTGTATCAGGTTGCACGGTATTGGCACCCACTGAATATAAAACCCGACATGACAGAGTTGGCAAATATCTGCACTGGAAAATCTGTAACTTCTACGGGAAGGAAACTGAAAGAAACTGGTATGAACACCACCCAGACCGGTTACGGAGATAGGACCTGTTATAATTTTGTGGGACTACACAATACACACTGACAGAACAATCAAAGCTAACCGCCCAGACATTGTTATTAGAGATCGCACACAAAAAAGTGTCTCCTTATTATATGGCAGTACCTGCAAGCTGCAATGTATCTTTAAAATACAAGGACCTTGAAATCGAAATCTAAAAAAATGTGGCACATGGGAACATCAATAATCCCTGTTGTAGTTAGAGCCCTCGGATTGGTTGGAAAAGATTCTAATAGACTCATTGAAGGGATTCCTGGAAGTCCATGCCTTAAAGAGATACAAAAAAGTTGTTCTCACAAGTACAGCCCACACTTTACGAAGGGCTATGTAAAATATATTCTTTTTGTTTGTTTTTGGGATTTTTTTTTTTTTTTTTTTGTCTAGTGGAAAATGTCATGATGCGATTTCTAACCTTAGGTCCCTGGGCGGGACCCGGAAAGAAATGAGTACACATCAGAAATCAAAGGAAATAAAATAGTAATAACAACAACAATAATAATAATAATAATAAGAATAATATTAATAATAATAATAACAACAAAAACAAGAGGAAGAGGAAGAAGAAATACCAAAAATTGTTCTTACAAGTACAGCCCACACCTTACGAACGGTTTTATCTATGTAAAATGGGTGATTTTGTTTTCAAAAATGCTCGGGACTCGGTAAGAAATGAGTATGCATCAGAAACCAAAGAAAAAAAAATCGCATACATAGATAAAGCCCTTCCTAGGGTGTGGGATTTCTTCGTGAGAACAATTTATGTAATTCTTTAAGACATGGGCTACCAAGAATCACTTGAATGAGTCTATTGGAATCTTTTTCAATCAATCCGAGGGGTCCCACTACAAACGGAATTTTTGATGTTCCCATGTGCCACATTATTGAGATTTCGATTTCAAGGTCCTTTTGATTTTGATTAGTATTAGTATTTTGATAGTTTTATGAAGATCTTCAAAGATACATTGAAGTCTACAGGGACTGCTTAATCAATAAGGAGGTACTTTTGGTCTTTGCGGTCTCTAATCACGATACCTGGGCAAGTAGCTTTGATTGTTCTGTCGGTGTATATTGTAAAGTTATTATTATTATTATTATTATTATTATTAAAGAATACAAGCTACGTCATGATAGCAGTCTATCATGGCGTAGCTTGTATTCCATCTGCATTGGTTCGTATGTCGGAAGTATGAACTTGAAGTCGAATAGATTGCTACCGTCACGTGCAAGAGAAGGTGATCAAAAACGACCAAATGAAGTTGTTATAAGATTTCAACATTCAAACAGACCGCATCCTTGAGGCCATCAAACTAGCATTCACTGTTGTTGAATAAAAAGAAGAAAATGTGTCCTCAATGATGTGGCTTGTCCTGGCGATCACAATACTGAGTCCAAATTAAATGGAAAATCTAAAAAATGTATTCTGATTTCCGGATTACGGTTCTCAGAATGTGGGACGTTCGGACTACTATTGTCTCTTGTTATCACTGAAGCTTTGTTATCTATGCCATCGAACCTACAGATATACATCAAGAAAATCAGAATAAAACCTAGTATACCGTCGCTTCAGAAGTCTTCATTGCCTGGCTTTGTAAATATTCTGCGAAAAGTGGTGTTGTCTATCTAAGGACGTACGACATGATAGAGAACACCCATATAAGGCAAGGTCTCAAGTTGAAAACGAATAATCATATGGTAGAAAAGATAATAATAATAATAATAATAATAATGTTGACGAAAGTGTGAGTCAGCAGGTGTCTCCGGAAGTCTGAGTTGAAACCAGAAATAGATGAATTCATTTTAAATGCTCATGACCAAAACTTGTCAAGAAAATCATAACAGGTAGATATCCAAAGTGTTACTTTTGTACAAACTCTTGGTCATTTAATATCTTGGTGATCTACCCCAACTCAAAAAGGAAATATGTGCATTGGAAGAGTTGCCATTATTATAATCTTCCCTGTGCAGAATAATGGTATGACCCCCACCCAACGTTAGAAGATGAAAATGTTAGGGAACTGTGGATCTTCAATATAAATACCGATTGCACTATACAAGCCAATAGCTAGGTTTAATAATAAAAGCAACACTTCTAGCGTAACCCTCTACTTCGAGTGACCCTCGGGCCTTGTAAAGGGTGAACTTTACTATAAAAAAACAAAAACTTATTTACATTCAGACTATTATCCTCATTTTTGTTCTTATGACCATGTTTCGACTGTTGTACATTCCGGCCTTCCTGGAAGTAGAGAATTACAGAATAAGAATCACTGTTTATGAGGATATGTGGAGAAGATAACGATTAACTCTAGAATGGAACAGATTAAGATTATAGTAATCGGAGAAACATCTTGGGAGTCGGTGCCACGAAGCAGGGGTTCGTAGGAAGAAGCTGCTCGAGTGGAACTTACATCTCACCAATGGAATACGAAAGGAATGAGGATGGTTCGCTACGATGTGTTTGGTATGGCGGGTCTTAGCCGTGAATGTTAGAAGTAGTGAATAAAAGGAATGTAGTTCGTCTGAACACTTTCTTTGAAAATAGCGATAGAGTATCAAGACTTTTGCAACATTTCATCTCTGGGAAAAAAAGTTCGCTGAGGGAAAATAATACGTCATCCACAAGTGAAGACTGTGCAACTCCTGCCCATATATGGTTGCAGATTTCCATTTTCAGCACGAGCTGGCACTTGGAAATGTAGAGGATAGTGGAGACGCTTTTGGTCTCTACTGAGGCTGAAAAGTAAAGTCTGGTCAACTCCTGCTCATATATGGCAGCAGATTTCCATTTTCGGCACGATCGGTCGCTTGTAA